TTTTATTGGCACTTAGCGCAAGGATTTATTTTTAACAGAGAAAACCCAGATTTATTTTGTAGGAATGTCATGTGTTGCTTACTAATCTACAGGGTCATTCTTGCTAGGTTTAAATTTTTTTTTATAGAGCTAAATTATTTTCTTATCCAAATTTGCTCGGCATGGCGAAATCGTGAAGATTGCTAGGAAATCATGTCTGATTTTTTTTTTTATAAAATGGTTTTTTTTTTGAAAGATGTGCTTTGAAATCATGATCAAATCCAAAATTTCTCTTGTTAAAATAAAAGCTTTATATTCCAAAATGTGAAATTGACAAGACAGTGAAACCTATGAAAAGTTTATGCTTCAGAAGTATGTAAGTTGATTGTTTCAAATTCTGTTAACATCAAGATTTTTTTTTAACTGTAATTTTTCTGATTTCAAAGATGGCTTTTATAGGTGTAACTTCTTGTAATGTATGTAGTGGACTATGTAGGAAAAAAATGGAAATTTTTAAAAAAATATATTTTTATGGGTTACTTTCAAAACTCTGCGTTCCAGCATTACACTTCTTTTTAATGATCATTCCTTTGCCTTGTCTCATCTCAAAAAGAGCATAAACTTTGCTCTTTAAAGTACAAGTATGTGGTCGGAATATAGGGGCACGTGTTACGATGGGGTTTGTAGAATTCTGGTTTTGATCATACCATCTCCTCTTGTGATTAAAAACTAGGCAGTCCCTTTGGGAAAAGGAATCGCTACCTCCTCTCTCACCCCAGGGGCTTTCTAAAAGGTTCTTCTTCAGAAGGGGAAAGGTTTGGGATTACATTGTATTAGAAAATGCTCTGGTTAGCATGGAAACCTTAAATGACCCTGTTAATATGGTACAGAAAGCTTAATGCATTCGTGACTTTGAAGTGTGTAAACTGTGGGTTAAACTTGGGAAATTTAATCTCTTGAAACCAATGCTCAGTAGATCCTAATGGAAATAAAACGTCTAAGAACTATAGCTACACACATACTCTCTCTCCACAGAATCAAACCCAATTATGTGCTGCCCCAGTTTAATTCCCTTTATGTCTTCTCTTTTCTGTATTCTCCTTCCCATCCTTTTACATCCTACCAGGTCACTAGTGCTATTACACTTTTAATAATAGGTGTTTGAAAGAAAGATTAGCTAAATACTTAGCTGGTTGATACCGCTGGGGTTGAATTTAATGGCAATATACCCCTAACTAGGTTTTTTAGAATGGACATATTGCATCCATCTGGCTTGCAAGTGTGTGGTAGGCATGGATGCTGACTTCCCCTCTTAGCTGCTGCTCCCATTCCTCTTCTTCTTCCAAGATCCTAACCCTGTCCTTCCTTTTCCACCCCTGCCCCTCCCGACTCAAGTCCTATTGCAACACTTTTCAGCAAGCCCTCACCCCCATGCGTACCCCATCTGTGCTCCTCTCCTCCCCTCCTGGAACATCCTAGATGCTGCAAATCAGCTGTTTGTGGCACTCTGGAAGTTCTGGGAGGGCAGGGGAGGAGCTGATCAGCTGAGCCACAAGCAGGTGAGAGATAGGGGGCAGGGAGGCAGAGCGGGAGCTGGGGTGCTGAGCATGCACTAATTTTCCCCTGTGGGTGCTCCAGCCCCAGTGCACTTACATATTGGCACCGTTGGAGACAGGGTGGAGAGTGTAAGATACCCATATGCCCCTGCATAGCAATTGAATGCAGCCCCTGTATTTCCTGGCGCAAAACACTCCAAAGAGGACAGTGAAGTCTGGGGAGGTGCCAAGATTCTACTCCTGTGTACCAGCTGACTGGATTGGTTAAGCTGTAACCGTGGCAGGCAGAATTAAACCCGAGACCTCCGGAGCTTCGTGCATGAGCCTGTATTGCAGTGTTGTACAACCTGCAGCCCGAGAGCTGCATGCAGCTTATTGGGGCTCCACCTGTGGTCCATGGACCCCCTGGTTTGCCCCATCCTCCCACACACTTCTAATGCACTGGGCATCAGACCCCCACATTTCTCCCAGCATTTTCGGAAGAACCACCAATCAACTGATTTGTGCTCGATCCCTGCTCTTCCTCCTCCCTCCCAGAGCTGGAATGCCACATCAGCTGTTCTTCCCAGCGCTGAAATGCTGTGGAGGGGAAGGAGCAGGGACAGGGCACAAATCAGATGATTCATGCACCCCAAAAGTTCTGGGGGGGAGGGAATGAGCAGGTAAGTGTGGGGCTATAGTACCCCAATGCATAAGAGGTGTGGGGGGAAGGAGCAGACAGGGAGCCACGGGGCTGCAGGTGGAACCCCAGTGGGCCATGGACTGCTGCGGCCTATGGAGGTGAAGGAGGGCTACTCATACGGCCCACCCACTATTCATGGTTAGCCATCCCTGCTCTACCAGTGTACGGCAGACTCGTTATTCTCTCTGTAAGTGGTCTCAGTGCAGCTGGATAGAACAGTACACCACACCCAGAAGGAGTGTGGATTGCACACACAGTTGGGAGGGAAAGGTGTAGCAACACACATGGGGCATCTCTAAGCATAGGTGAGCTTCTCTGAGTCAGAACTCTACCTAAACCTCCCAGAAGTCTTTCTGGCTCCTCACGGTCCCCACCTTGCCAATTCAGAGCACAACTGGGCATAGAAAAGGAGATGAAATTCAGGGTACGCCTAGACAGCAGGGCTAAAGTTGAATTAAGGTACACAACTTCAGCTACGCTATTGAAGAGCTGAAGTCAAAATAGCTTAATTCAGCTTTTAGTGCTCTCTATACAACAGGAGGTCAAAGGAAGAGCACTCTTTCTTCGACTTTCCTAACTCTTTTGAAGTGAGGGTTACCATGAGTCGGAGTAAGAAGTCCTCCAGCTCGACATTATTTTGATATAAAGGTTTGGAGTGTATTCCAAAATAACATTGCTGTGTAGACATGCCCTCAGTGTCCACAAGAGCATGTTAAAAGGAACAATTTTAACTTTAGTTTTCTTTAAAGAACCACTGTAATTTCTTAATTAGCAGTATAATATATTGGTATCTTTGTGGACTGCTCAAGGAAACCAACCACTCAATACGCAGGATTATCCAAAGACATTACATTGTATTATGAAAAGAATGAAAAAAAAATCTTTACCATATTGTAATGCCATTAGCTTGCTTTCGTTCTGAATATTCTGTACGCCACTGGTCACCCCATCTGAGAAAGTATATAGCAAAAAACAATAGTCCTCACAGGAGACAAATGAAAATGTATTAAAGGCAAGTAAAATCTTTTTATATGAAGAGATTGAACAGATTAGGGCTACCTAAACTATGGCAGAAAAAATGAGGTGACTTGATAAAGAAATGTGTGTATTTGTTTATATAGATATATACAATATCAATAAGACATAAAATAGCATAGAGAAGGCAGACCAAATGTAACCATTGTCATCACACAAGAGCCAAGATGACAGCCAATGAATAAGCAACAAATTTAAAACTGATAAAGCTTTTTGTTCAAAGCATAATTAATGTGACCTTTAATACCACAAGGTGTTACTGAGGCAAAGATTTTAACAGGCTTCTAAAAGCCTGATAGATACACATTTACTGATATACATTTATGTTAAGAATACAACAGCTGAGGAATACAGGGTAGAAATCTATGACCTCTTCCATCATACTTTATGATGGCAGAGGTTCCTACAATTTTTTTCCCCCTGTGTGGCCTGCCTTTTAAGGCCGAGGAATGCTTGTGAGCCATCTGCCCTCTCATTTGTGATAGCACAACGTGCCTCTGACAGTTACATCAATGCCGCACATGGAAAACCACTGTTAGGAAAGCATGTAATGTCTTTCAGTGTAATGTGAGGAAAGCGTAGGCTGTCTTGCAATGCAATTTAGCAGCTGGAAATGAGGCGACAGCACGGTGTGACCAGTGGCTTTTTTGCAGATCCCAAGTGTTCACATAGTTTGAGAACCTCTGCTTTGGAATATCAGCTGAAGTGACCAAGAAAACTATTGTTGTTGTTCTCCAATGTGGAGGTTTACATGATGGTTTTAAACATCCAGCAGTTAATGTCTTAGAATGCAAGGTGCTAAACTAAGTGGACCTTAGGTGTGGTCTAGTATAACAATCCCTGAGTTCTTTGGTTTTAGGATTTTACACTGGGACTAGGAGGAAAAAACCCTAGTTAAAAATCCCAAATGTTGGTTAATTGTTTCAAGCTATTTTGTGGTGTTGGCTACTAGAACGAGCCCCAGCCAGATGGATTTAGTAGGTGGAGAGCCCATGGAATACTATAGTGATAAATTTTATATATACACCATTTGTGTGGAGGCGATAGCCATTGGATGAATTGTGATAAAACATCCTCCTTAGCCCACCCTCCCTGCCTTCTTCACACCCATCCATATCCCCTGAAATGTATTACCAACCCAAGAACAGCTTCAGGCAGATGTAATTTTAAAGAGTTATCCATCAATAAAATGCGGCTTTGTTTCCCAAATATGGTACTTTCCACTTAAAAATTACCACTGCCCAAGGCCTAGGGGAGGAAGATTTGCTCCTGAATTAGTGGCACTTCTGTAAAATCCCAGTATCACAGATTTCACATCCAGTAAGCGGAGGCAGGGACAGAAAATGGGAGCTTTTTGCCATTGCAAAAGAGCTTGGTGCTAGTCCTGGAGGAAGCTGTAGGGTTGGAAATTTAAATAGCAATATAATCGTATGGGTAGGAAAAGTAAACCTGGATAATGTAACTGTCAGAAACTCATGCAAAAATCACGGTGATGCGTTTCCTGGTTTTAGTTGCTTGTGTTTATTATCGCTTGGACTGCCATTCCACATATGGGATATGTGTGAACAAAATATAAGGGTGTGTGTGTGTGGTGGGGGCGATATATACATTTAATGCATACATGTATGCATACTCATACACGCACTCATACACACTCACACACACTCTTCCAACTAGTGTAAATGTTTTTTGCCTTTAAAATTTTTTAACCTGCAAACACTAACCACCCTTCTGTATATCTCTTACAGAGAGACTGCCACTGAGTTAGCTGGAACATTACCAAGGTAAGCAAGCTGTTCTAAACTCAATCTGTATATGAGTGTCTGGTAGCTGCTGAAAGAAGCACAGCCTCATGAGCCACATTATATCATTCTTTCATGTAGAAACCTGCCATGCGGTGGGGAGACAATACAGATATATGGAGAAACCAGCATTTTTTGATTCGTTTGCCATTCCCAGTTAAATGGTTGTAAAGTGCCATGGTCCCCAAGAACTAATCATTGTAAATCCACATGTTTAAATTGCTTTGAGGCTCAGCTTAGTTGACTACCACCTGAAGAAAAGCATCCCAGATGTGGTTTCCTGGCACACTCAAACTACATATGCTGTAGGTCGTTTCGAGGTTGCCTTCTTTTTTAACAGCAAGGGAAAAGTCGGTTGTGAAAATCCAAATATGCTTTCATTGGGAAAGCGGGAGAACCACATAGCTCTGATCTGTTTCGTGTGAACAAGCTCATCATGAAATAAGAAGCACATGTGAGCGCTAAGCTTTCAAAGAACGGCTAAAGAGAGACTTCCTCCTTGTACTCAGAAGAGACAAATATAAGACTGTAATTCTGGAGATGAAAATTATTCAGACAACTGAAAACATTGGGTGTGGCATCCTGAATTCCTATTAAGTGACAGATTTCATTTTTAATGTCAAGGAGCAATGCATATGTTCCCTTTTCCATCTCATTTCACCGCAGCTTCTTTATTATTGTGTGGGTTTAGTTATTTTTAAGTGAATATTATGTTGTAGTTTGACACACATTCACAACGAAAGTGTGCAAAATGCAAACCATGAAATCTTCATTGGAATTATAATTTTATAACAATAAGGTAATAATGATATTTGACGCGTTAGCTATTTCTCACTCTGACAGGCAGACTTTTTAACTAACTTTTTTGGAGGGTCACGTGAGATGCAATTGTTCATTCATACAAAACCACATCTTTTTATGGTGAAGGCCATGGGTTGATTTAATTCCAACATACTTAATTCCAATAACACCGAATAATTTTCCTCCAATGCTGAATTGGTTTTTGTCAGGTTTTTTTTTAGTTGTTTTCCAGAATGTTTGCAGGTACAACCTAATTGAATACTGCTAGGTCATTCAGCTATTATTCTCTTTTTAGGTTTCCTGTCCTTTTATTATCTTCAAATGTGCAGTGAAATATCTTGGTGCGATTTTAACAAGGCATCTGAAATTCTGTTTATTCTCTTGCTAATGATCTGTGGTACATGACACTTAGAGATTTTTATTCTTTGTAGTCGTAAAAGGATGCTCACAGTTCTGCATCTGGGAGAAATGAAAATAGAGATTCAAATTGTAGCTTACTAGTTAATCCTTGCTTGAAGACATTGATATTTACTATTTTTCATAATCATTTAGTTGTGTCATTTTCACTAGCATAAGAGTGTTTCCAATCTGATTGCACTGTCGATCATTAATTTAACCTTGGCTTGGTATTAGTTGACAATATATACTAAAAATATTAAATCTTTGTACAGCAGAAGTGAATCTATCCTGGTAGTTTTAAATGCTTTGAAGTTAAAATGAGAAATCTGCACTAGGAGCTTGAGTAAGCATCCCGTTTCTTTCTCACTGCTAATGGAAACCTAACTGTGTTTGAATTCTTGCCATAGCTGAAATTAAAGTCTGGTGGTAATATGTCACAAGTAGAAATTAGATTATATGAGCAATGTGCATGAGGCATTGTAATTGTATTATAAATATTAAAGCCAATGATCTTGTCTGGATGAAAACAAATGTTTACAGCTGTGTGAACGTTAGCATTCTTCTACTAGTCTTCACGCTTTTCTTTGGTATGACTGATCATTGCTTTTCTTCCAGGAGTACACTTTTTCTGATTTACTCTGTATTCAAAATATTCTTTGTTCAAACTTTAAATGGATAGTAATGATATTAATGATTCATAAATTGAGAAACTCAATCCAAGAATATTTTGTCTTCTAACAATGCTGATTTTCTTCCCAAATTGCTTCATTTCAATAGGCACAATTTTAAGTTTGGGGACTTTCATATTTTCAAAGTAAAACTGTTGTTTTGTAGCTACCATGCTATCCACACATTTGCCTAATGAGACAAAAACAAACAGAAAAGACTAATCCATTATGGTTCAGAATATTAAATCTAGCCTATGTAACCAAACATGACTTTTCTCTATTTACAAATGGTCATAGATATATATGTAGTATAAATTGCTCAGATCTTTTCCTTCACTAGTAATCTTGCCCAAAAGAATCTCTTCATTAATTCTTCAGAGGGTATAGGTGTGTATGTGCCTGCACTTGCGCATATTCACTGTGTATATGCACTTGTCTGCTCATCTTGAAGGATGGAAGCATTTTCAGGGTTAATGGTGCCTCCAAGGGTTTTCTGGCTTTGTCAACATAATAAAAAAAATATTTCTTTCCAAATTTGTACACAGATTAATTGGATTATAAAAGAAATGCCGGTGCTCCAATTTCCCAGAAAGCAGTTTATACATTAGGAAGCATGTTTTCTTTCTCTCCTCCTAATTAAGAGACTCCAAAGTGTGTGTTTAAGAAGTAAGGGTAAGACAATAATCCTTTTAAAACAAGGTGTGTGGTTTTTTTTAATGTTGGTATGAGTTATCTCATGCTGTTAAACATTTTCTAGATAATCATTTTAAATAGGAAGATTTTTTTTTCTGATTTGCTTAGCCAAAAGATTCACCACCAGATTTCATCAATGCTTAGGGTAAAAATGGGGTGGTGGAATGAAAAACAGCATTTTATAAACTTCCTTTAATGGATAATTTTGTATTTGTAGAAAGATATAAATTAGAAACAAATACATGACAGGCTGAACTGCTAGAACTTGATAGCTAGGTTTTAAACCCTGTGTCTTTTTCTCAACTGGCTTATTTCTGTTTATGTTTAGATTATACAAAATCAAGAGAGAATTGATTTTCAACTTAAAATGTAAAAGATACAACTTCATTATTATATATGTATGAGCCTACAGTTTTTTGTTTTTCAAATAAAGGCATTCTGTGTATAACAGCACATCAAAGAAAAGATCTTCATAAGGAAAACTCCATAATATTGTTAGGTTGTTCGTTGCATGACCTATTTAGAGTACTCAGATTCTTCTTGTTGTAGACTACATAATTAAATTTTAAATGGAACATGATAAAGAAATTATACTGGTGATCTCCAGGGATTCGAATACCCTATTTGGCTCTTTACAAGAGTGTAGCAAAGGCATATTTTAAAATTTAATAAAGGTCTGGCCTCATTTTTTTGTTTCAGGTTTTCTATAGCTGCTGTGCCAATCTTGTTTCAAAGCTATATTAGCTACATGTTTCCTGAAATAACAGATAAAAATATAGTTCTTAAAAGCATATTTAGTGTGACTTAGGAAATCCATTTATTTGAGCATGATAGTGTATAGCTGATCAATCAAACTAGGCTCATAAAACCTGCATTTCCTGAATTTATAACTGTAGAGAATTGGGATTCATCTTGTTTTGGTCACATTTTGTGTTGTCCTTGGAGCTTATCAAGCAAAAGGGACAGAATATTATTTTGGAGCAAGAGGCATTTTTGCAATGTAGACTGCCTATTCTCAGAGCATAAATTGCACTCCGTGAGGGGGTCAAAGAGACAAGTCAGCACAACCACAGAACAAAGAAGAATATTTGGCTTCCTCATCCCAGGAGCCATTCCAATCTCTAGGGTAAATAAAATATATTTTTGAACCTTCAATTTTTTTTATCTTTAAAGGAGAATAACCAGTTAAAAAATTATTTTCGTATTAATAACATCATACATTATTACCTCTAAAAGAAAATTTAAGATCTAGTTTACTTAATATATTTTGTGCTTTTGGCTTAAGTTTACATTTCATTTTTTTTTTGGTACTTGAGAGAATGACATGACCCCGTCACTTCCTGTACTAACCCAAGGCTGTTATTTGCATTTCCAAAACTCCAAGGAAATGTGTAAAATGCCTGTGTAAATAAAAGTAATAATGGCACTGAGTTTTCACCAATATGTGATCAAATTCAGGGAAAAATTTTAATTACACTCTTCTATTAATTGGCCTCTTAAAAAAAAATTAAAGGAAAAGGTGAAGAAAAGGGCAAACAAAAATCTACATTAAAAATATAGTAGATGTTCTAATACAAAGTACTCTGCTATTAATTGGCCTCTTCAAAAAAAAAGTAAAGGAAAAGGTGAAGAATAGGGCAAACAAAAATCTACATTAAAATATAGTAGATGTTCTAATACAAAGCACCAAAAGAAGACAGGGACACATTAAAATACAGATTGATGATCTGTATTTTGAGTTCTGTGACTATTTGTATGTTTAAACAATATATAAGGTATCCGTTAAGTTGGAGGTTTACAATACATTATTATTTGAATTTTTTGGCATGCACGTGAATAAAGAATAATTTACTCCTTCCCATAACACAAGAGGGTCACCAAGTGAAATTAATAGGCAGTAGGTTTAAAACAAACAAAAGGAAGCACTTGTTCATGCTATGCACAGTAAGCCTGTGGAACTCCTTGCCAGAAGATGTTATGAAGGCCAAGACTATACCAAGGTTCAAAAAAGAACTAGATGAATTCATGTAGGCAAGGTCCATCAATGGCTAAAAGCCAAGATTGGCAGAGATGATGTCCTTAGCCTCTGTTTGTCAGAAGCTGGGAATGAGTGACATGAGAGGGATCACTTGATGATTACTTGTTCTGCTTACTTTCAGTGGGGAACCTGGAATTGGCCACTGTTGGAAGACAGGATACTGAGCTAGAGGCACCTTTGGCCTGACCCAGTATGGCCAGTCTTATGTTCTTGTTTGGGATTTGTGTGCATACTTTCCAAAAGTAATCAAGTCCCATTTTCAAAAGAGACTTTTTGGCACCAAAGTCTCACTCAAAACCAATGGGGCATAGGCTACTCAGCGCCTAACTCTCTTTGACAGTAGCATGAAGGCTCTGAAGTATGTTCAGCTGAAGTAGGCTTTT